TTTCCAGAATCGAAGTAAAGCGAGCTCATCTTGGAACTACGAACTGTCGATAGTCACAAAAATCATGGAAATCGACCCAGTAGATCGATCAGACGAACAGTGCACTGAAAAAAAACTGCTAAAATCAACACATGAAATAGTGAAAAAAGGTGACAACTCATCAAAATAGATTAAGAACACCGGGTTGATTTTACTAATTTGGTGATTTGTCACCGTATTTTAGCAATTTTTTTTTTTCAGTGTGACAAAAAATAAAAAAAAAGGGGGTCAGAGAGTTCGTGATACGAATATTTTGAGCATAACCATACGACCAAAATGAGCAACGTTAGTGCCAAAGGGCTTTTCAATGAAGTGCACTCGGCAAAATGGCATGAAACTCCTTCGGGGGTATCTATAGGACTCGCCTGGCAGCGACGGGTCTGCGGATAAGTCTGATAAGTTTCCTGGAGTGGATACTCCCTGAAAATCAGGTTAGAAACAAATGATTCCCAATTTTTTAACCGGGAAGTTTTGTCTATTGATCTCAGTGGACGAAATTAAGAAGCGGTAGCAGGGTATTCGGCATCCCTCCTCCCCTCCAGTCGACCGAGTCTTGAACCCATGCCAAAGCTTTAGCACCAGCGTTGTCAGCTGAGATGCAAAATTCACCTTTTTCGGTATTAGGTCAAGTGTGCAATAATGATCAAAACTCACCAACTACCACAAAATAATATGGCTCATTTAAAATACGTCCAATACGAGTGTAGCAGACTTATCGTCCTTCGAAAAATAACTGTAATTAACCAGTGGCGAAGCATGAATCGATTTGTCCCCCTTTGAAGCTATGGTAAAGAATCGATTATTCAGGTGTTCGATGCGAACGCCCTGTTTCTCGATCCTTTTCCATGGGTTTGAATGGCAGATCAATCGATATATCGCAAAGCACGCCACGCCACTGTAATTTACGTCAATCACTACGATACCATAGACTATAGTTTCTTCCAGAATGGATACGTTGACTGCTCATTACACATTCCTGCTGGTTGGTCAGCATTATATTCCTTTCAAAACCGGGTGGGAAGAAATCGGGGTACGCATCATCGTGATGGATTACGTCATTGACCGTGATTTTTTAGCACGCATCATCGTGATGGATGACGTCATTAACCGTGATTTTTGAAGAGCGATATCAATGTTAATATTGAATACAGGAACTTGGATGACATACGGATCTCGTCATTTTTTGCTGATCTTTGAGAATGAATCCTCCTAAAACAAGTCTATACGCCTAGTACAATATGACCACAATTGGCAATAAGAAACTAATATTTCTGGCTCTCTTAGGGAACTTCATAATGTACTATCAGTTTTTCTGTGTACATTTTACTAGATGGGCTGAAAATGTATTTTCGTTCTCTCTCGGAACATGTAGTCCAATTGGACGTACATATGCTAAAAGAAACCAGAGACACACGAAATAGAAGGAGTGTGCTCGTTAGTTCTCGGACCGTAAGAATGAATGGGAATTATAAAGCGCCAGTGACGTCAGAGATGAAGACGACGATCCGCAGATCTGGTTCTTCAACTCATGAGCCCTACCCACAACACTCTTGTCATATGCCCATGGCTCATGAGTTAACATATTTTGGCGCTTAGTGCCTATTGATTTAATATCAAATCCCACTTCTCCATTTTTCCAATAGGAATCACGCCCACTTTTACATTGATCTCTCTGCAGCTTGCACGAGCACACCCCATCTTTCCCACACGTCTCCAGTTTCTTTTAGCATAAATACGTCCAATTGACCTACTACTAGAGGAAATTCCGAAAAATTACACTTGTTGGCAACGCTGCGGAGTGTAAAGTATATCTCTCGCCGCCTCTGCCGTTGCCGGCACAATGACCCACTAAACTTGGACAGCTTTAACCGGAAGATGTATTTCCATTCCGCCGCGATCCGTTACCGGAATCGGCCGAGGTTGAAACCTACCTCGTCCAGTATCTGATAAACCCCGGAAAGTTAGCATTTTCGTAAGCTTCAAGGCTCATCAAAAGCTAGGTTTCAGTTTCGACGCTGACCTCTTCACTTGTGTATAAGTTCACTCTGTCTCCAATACTCATGCACCAAGGAAAAAGTTCTGTCATACATCCATAAAAGAGGCCTCTCTACATCGAACATTCGGTGTATCCGTCTAATGCGTCAAACTGAACTTCCGGCTTGTACTAGTGGCGATTCTTGAGAATAGGTAACATTGTTTTTCCTCCATTTAAATGTATGTAAAACAATCGATTCATGGTGAGGCAGCTTGCCTCACCTAAAATCGATATTTTTATTGGCTTTAAATGGAAGAAAAACAGTATTGCCAACTTGCAAAACCGCCACTGGCTCATACAACCAAACTCTCCACAGCTCGATTATTTGAGCGGAGAGTATATGTCCACATAGATAGAAAGTTCGCTTTGAAAAACCAAATTTTATGGCCGATAGAAATCGTGCACTGATAGTTTATATAACTTTTCTATTGAAGTATGGGCCTCATAAATAATTGCTTATTTAATTACGACGATCAAAAACTATAGGCTATTTACGTTGGAGCCCAGGAATTTACCATGAATTTTAAAATTTACGAGTACTTACTTAAAGAGCGTTAAAATTTCGGTAGTTACTTTTGGATCCTCAGAGCTTTCAAGGGTGGATGTTTGGAGAGTGGTAATTTTGAATTTTGATGCGTATATCATAAGTTTATGGGCAAGACAGCAAAATACTGTCGATTGTATGGGGCTTACTAATTGGACTGCATTTTGCAATTTGGACCTATAAATTCTGGCTCATCTGAAAAAACACTTATGTGCATGGGGAAATTAATGGCTCATACGTTGTTTTTAAACCGGGCCGGAATTTATAGTTCCTAATTACAAAATGTAGTCCAATTTAATCATAGTACGATTTATACATATAACTAAACTTTTTTCCTCGATGGACTTGTGGATCGATAACTGAGCTACAAAAGCACCCAAAAACTGTCCGAACTCTAAATACTTATGAAATCGAATCTCAATTGGAGCATCCCATACGTTTTTCATTCGTAATCCTCAAAAAATATTTTCTACAAAAAGGACCCATCATGGCGGTTCGCAGGAAATAGTGAGTCCCGTTCGTAGAATAGGGTGTGAGGGGAAGTTGGCCCATGACAAACAAAGCTAGCGGAAAATACTGACGTTTCGAACCAATTTCATTCTTATCCAAGGCGCTAATCAAGGGAAATGGTCCCATCGGAGATTTTTATCATTCTTCGGGACCATAGTTTACACCAGAGTTAAGAGTGGCGTCATCTACCGTGTTTCCCAAAATGCCATTTTCATAGCGTAAATCGAAGCAAAACTAATCAATAATGTTGAAAATTGCGAGGATCACGGTATTTTTGCCCGAATGGCATCGTCAATAAGGTTGGAGCTCAATAATTTTTGCCTCCATTTGAGGCGCGTAAAAGCAGATAAAGAAGGTTCTTTCTGTGAGGGTGAGTTCACACGGTCCATTGGGCTGGCTGCCAAGCTTGCCCGTTGGACAGTGTGGATTTACACGCGCAACGGGCCATTTTGCCGTACGAAGGAAGAACGCCGTATTAACATTCGAATGTTGCCACATTTTTGTTCTTTTAGAGAATGTAACGAAATGAATCCCTTAAAACCTAAGTCAATAATGAAACTCCCAAAACCACGTATCTCGTTTCTGGTGTTTAAAAATCTCTGCTCCCGCATTATTTTTTTAAGACAGAACAAATCACCACACACAGGAAAAAAACACATTGGATCGAGAGTCCAGACTCTTGAAAACATTGACAAGATAAAACACTCTTGATTCAATCAGATTTAAGCTTAAATCAAGTCTCTTAATTTGAGCGGATATCCTTTTGATTTAAGCTTAAATCTGATTGAATCAAGAGTCCTTTTTCTTGTCAATGTTTTCAAGAGTCTGGACTCTAGATCCAATGTGTTTTTTTTCCAGTGCACTCCTTCAAACTTTCTCAGCATTTGCCTCGTACGAAGAGGAAAAATCACGAAAGTTTTCAAGGATGGGTCAGTTGCGCTGGTCAAAAAACCGTGTTTTGATACTTGATTCTTGTAGATCAGATACAAATATAAAGATTCGTCTAAACAGCGACTTTCTACGTTCAATATTAACCAAGACATCGCCCCTTGAAAAGTCGAGTTTTTGACGTCATACACCGCGATAGTGACACCCTTGGTTTCTTCCACCTTCCTTTCATCAGTCGATGTGACGCATCTTTGCAGTGGTCACTCAACAAAAAACTCGGATGAGAGCAAGGTGAAGAAACCAAGGTGTCATTACAGCGGTGGATGACGTTGAAACCTCGACTTTTTATTGGGCGATGTCTCGGCTAATATTGAACGTAGAAAGTTGCTGTTAAGACAGATCTTATTATTGCAAGCTGTTCTACACGAATCAAGCATCAAAACACGATTCTGTGACCAGCAGAACTGACTCATTGGATGTATTTATGCTGAAAGGAACTATGCGCATAGAATTTGCATGCAACATAGTTCCTTTTAGCATAATTACTCGTACTTTCCATTGACGTTGAGTAGTTCTCCATTTAATATCAAGAATGACGTCAGGAAGTCTGCAACGTTGCAAACCGAGATACGTGGTTTGTTAGTTTCACCTGTGATGTGCACTCCTAACATTGAACTGCAGGAGAAAGCGTCTGAAAAGCTCAAGGAAAAATGTCGCAAATTTTCCAGAAATGTTGTATTTTATCAGGGAATCCAGGCAACATTCGGATGTACATACGGCGTTTTCCCTTGGAGAAGTAACATTTTAAAAGATTGTGTTAAGTGTTCCTTTGTAATCAAAGGAAAAATGTCACAAATTTTCCAAAAATGTTGTGTTTTATCAAGGAATTAATGCAACATTCGAATGTACATACGACGTTTTCCCTTTGAGAAGCAACATTTTAAAAGACTGTGTTAAGTGTTCCTGTGTAATCGAAGCACTTACCTAGGATCATGTTTCACTGCTATCCGTAAAGTGCGCTTTCCCCGAGTATAATGAATATTTGGCGAGTAGAATGTGCTCCTTCGGCGCTTCTCAGCCTTGCGAATGACGTGTACTTTCAACGTGAAGTTCCATCAACTCAGCACACGTCAAATTACACACCCACGATAAAACACCCGCGCGTTCCTCATCGGCAACGCTCAACATCACAAGCAAACCCGAGGATTCCTCGTGGAAATCATCGCACTTCCCGTTAGCAATCGCACAACACTATCCGTCATTTCAGCAAAATCACCGTCCTTTCGAGCATCACCAGTGATATCCACCCTTCTGTCATCAGCTGAGGAATTCCGCTGATTCGAGGTTACGTCGCATCATGTTCGTCACGGGTAAAACCTCGATCGCAATTCTACCGCACAGTTAGCGACTAATGAAAAAAAAGAGGCAAAAATTAGAACTTGGTTGCTCCACTATTCTGCCGTACTAGGGAAGGAAAATCCGAGAGTGCCAAATTTCCCCCAATAAAATATGTATTTTTGAAAAAAGTCATGAATATTTTTCCTCGAAAATTTCAGTTCTTTTAGACCAAATTGCAATCTGAATTTTCTGAAAAATTTGAAGACAAATTTTCACAAGTTTCCCAGTAAATTTGATTTTATCGAGGGAAATTTGGCAACGTCTAAAGGCTAATATGGCGTTTTTCCTTGGCATGGTAGTATGATGGTCTCAGGATACTTTGACCTTTGCCTCGTGTAATTGGTATTGGCTGGATCGGCTAATATTTACAAGACTCGTTGTCGCTCCAGAGTTGGTTATATTTATTTAATTTTCTTTTTATCGACGATTTTCCTAGCTTTTATCTATTAGTGCATGTATACACTTATCCATGGCATAGCGCTACAAGCATCCGAATTCTCAGAAATTACGGCCTCGTGGAATTTGTTTCAGTGGACCAACTTGTCAGTTCCAAGAGAATTTATCACTTCCATTGACCCCTGACCTATTCTGCTGTGCTGAAGAAGAACGCCGTGCAAACATTCGAGAGTTGACAAATTTCTGTCGATAAAATGTTCATTGTTGAGGAAATGGTTTGAAAATTGTTCCTTAAAATTTGCAGACAATTTCAGTGGAATTGCGAACAAAATTATCTCAAAAATTGGAAGAAAAATGTTCATGGGTTCACCAGAAAGGTCGTGTTTTATCAAAGGAAATTAGGCAATGCCTGAAGGTTCATACAACGTTCTGCATCAGCACGGCAGTGATGGTCTAGTGTTCGACGTGCTGCCTACTAGTCTAAGGTGTGAAATCGATTTTTTACAATATTAATTTGTGCAAGTAAATGTTAACAATCCATGCTCAGATGTAAAGATACAACTAAGATAGGAGAGTTGTATTGCTTTTAAAATCGATCAAAATTTGTGATTTTTGTGATCGTTTAGCCCTCTCATGTGCATTATTTTTAAAATATTTAAAACGAAACATGAAATCTAAAATTCAGCGCGCTTGTCACAATTCATATTCTATTAGTCAAACATTTGATTAGATCGGTTTTTCGTAAAGTCTCTTTCAACATTAAAAAGTTCAGTGGAAAGCCCTTTCAATGTAAAGTTTCCGCAATATAGAATCTCCGCACTCCGACTTGAAAGAGTAATTTTAAGGAAATATGCAGCTAAGTTATTGAGTCTTAATTCATAGGAAAGTGTATTGACAGGAACCTTTTGTAAAAAGAATGCAATGAAACAACTATTCTTGCTTCGGGACCGTGCAAATTGTCTACCCTAAAAATTGCAGGCGCTTTACGGACTAGTGATTTTTTTACCACGCCGTATGAGCAGTTCAGTCATGCAAAGGAGTTAAAGCCTCCCAGTTTGATGACCAGGCCTTGAATTCGAGCCTCGAGTGTTTCTCGTCATAAGTTAACGGTTTAACGATGTAGAAAGCTTCAGCGCGATTTAATTTGCACAAAACCTATTACCTCGAAAAAGTGTATCAAGTAAAATGAAGCAAAAATGTACTCGCGCACTGTTCACACGATCACCTAAACATTAAATTTGAGCATCAGGTGATGTTTGTACCTCCATACCTATGTACCTCAAAAATCTAGATACATACTGCAAAAGGGTATGTATCTTTGTACATAATACCAGGCTCCTGAGGAGAGGGGTAAAAAATGAGATAGCGAACCGTGTAATCGCGCACCTTTCACTTGATCACCTAATCATTAAATCTGAGCATCAGGTGATGTTTGTACCTCCATACCTATGTACCTCAAAAATCTAGATACATACTGCAAAAGGGTATGTATCTTTGTACATAATAACCAGGCTACTGAGGAGAGGGGTAAAAAATGAGATAGCGAACCGTGTAATCGCGCACTTTTTACACTATAAACCAGGCACGAAATTCAAGCCTCAGGTGTTGTCGGTCATATTCGATGACCGGGGTATATACAAGATGCGGTGTATATACTGTGTATATACGGGGATGTCGCGGTGCTGTAGATGCGTGGTCGAGCTGCGGTAGGCGCGAAAGCGGGCGGCCGCGCCAGTGATCGATGAATGGAGTCAAAGCACACACTGAAAGGCTCGCCGCGGCGCGGGCCCGAGTTGGAGATGATGCGGGGGTGGGTTTGGGGATGGGGGTGGGTGTTTAGGGGCTCCTGACGCGGTCCGCTATCCTCTGCAGTGCGCGCACGCCCGACGCTCGCGCCCTGGTCGAACAACCGAAAGCTGCCAAGTTTCTCGGCGCGCGAACTCGGGGCACGCTGTTGCCAAGTTTTCTAGATTGACAGGAAGGATGAGGACCTTCGAGCAACAAAACAGAAAATGAGTAACTTTTTCGGGAACAATGCAGGGGGATACAAAGAAAGAGATATAATGTACGTAAAACAAACCCATTAGGCTTCTAATTGAAATGTAAAATAGGCCTTCAGGCTGTATTCTGTAAAATAAAGTTCCACCATGTAAATACATCAATCTCAGCCTCAGCTCTAAAAATCAAATGCAGGGACTCGAATTTTCTTAATGTGTTAAAAAATTGCTTTATTGCCAAATGTTTTTATGGGAAGCGGAGTATTTGGCATAAGCCCTTTTTTAAAAAATCTGTAATCTCTTTTCCTTTCTTTTCTTTTCTTTCTGCTCCCCTTATTAACCCTGACATATTTGTTCTAGCTGTTAAAAAATGTGCATTTACAAATAAAAATATATTATCATTATTATTATCAATAAACAATCTTTTGTTAGAAAAAAAAATTCTGGATTACGAGGTCAGGTCTGCTCAAAAATGACGTCAAATATATTATGAGAGAGGTCATGGACTATTTAACGATCCTATTTAAACGGTAACTGTTTGCGGCAGACGCACGGGTTGTAAGACAGTAAATTGGAATTTCTCAGCCAACGTGCTTTAAATATCAGCAAGCTGAAAATCTCCATACAGAGGGGAAAAGCTCATACAAGCACAATTTTCCCTGAATGAGACACGCTGTTTGGTGCAATAAAAAAATACTTGTTTAAAGAAGAAAAGAAGCCTATATAAAAAAAAAAATCACGTACATCAAGCAGAAATCCGCTCTCATACAGCTATTTTATTCTTGATTCATAATAAAATCTTCTTGGCAGCATACTCTAGAATGTTTCTGCCTAAATCGAGTCACTTTTTTCTCTAATGAAATTCAAAAATTATACTAAACGTTATTAAATACGGATGCTAGGACTTAATGAGTTGTTGGACTACCTCTCTCTTTTTGTGCCGTAGTATCTTGATTTATTTTGCGAGGAAAGCTCCGAACTCATTAAGGATGCCTGTCACTCTTAATATGTTGGAGCGCCTTCGATTTCGTATGACACTGTGCAACACCTCTGTTGTGAAATAGTTGCTTGATGCGCCGCGCCGTGGCACGCTACGGGACGGCGGCCGGCCGGTCAGCTCAATACGCGCATTGGCGCCTACAAACCTAACAGGGATACTTCACGCATCGCGTAATGCGTGCACGCCTCGCGCTGGCAGCACGCCGCTCCGCTCTGTGTCAGGCTCTGGTACTTAATCTCGCGCATTATGACGTGAGCCCTGTTATGCACATATTCTTATTGGTCTCAGGGCTCATGTCTTGATGCATATAGTTCCGTTTGATAGAGATACGTCCAATTAAAGCTAGCTCGGTACCTAAGAGCGATCATTTTTATATGTTGGGCCAAAAGTTTTGTCGCCACTTTTTATTTCGTATCATATTGACTTCTTTTTTCCTCCGCGAGTCCACTAGAAGGTTGGTCCAAACATTTTCCAAACGGGAAAACCTCGTAGAGTTCAATGCTGATACGTAGAGCGAGCTACTTTCAAAATTTGCATTGATTTCAGAGGAATTTTGGTGCGAAAATGTGGATTTTTCGTCATTTCAATGACAAACATTACTTTTTACTTGATTTTATGCATGCAAATTAGTTTTTCCTCAAAAGCACTGAAAGTCATAAACCATGATCATTGGCCGTTAATTCGGCGACGCAGTCCTCTGTTTGTATACATTCAGGGCATCCAATTGTCATAAAATATAAAATCTTGAAATTTCACGATAAGGAATTCATGAAATTCCTGAAATTCTTGAAAGATATTAGAAAGTATGCTCGATTTAGAGTTCATCAACACTCGATGATTATTTGACTGCACTCGGACTTGTCCTTTTCTCTTAGAATTTCCTGTAATGACACCCTTTATTTGATAAGTTGCACATAGTGAAAATTGACACAAGAGACTCAAGTTCTGAGTCTCAAAATTATTTTACCTCTGCAGGTGGGAATTCTTAGAATAATTCTTAATTATAGATTCTAGGGGGAAAATGTCAATTTGTTCGACCTGTTCAAGTTAGTGCTCCCATTTGAAAAACAATCAAGGGATCCTGCAATCTAAGAGAGCTTTAAATGTTTGAAGCATCCGGGAAGTTCCTGAACCGAGTTTTCGAAAGTTCTAGAGAATTATAGGTCAGAGCAATTCCCGGGAAGTGGCCAATGTTTCGAGGATAATTCCATAAAACCAAACTTTTAATTTACTCCGGGACTTTTCGGAGAATTCCAGACGTTTTGAAATTTAGCGGCGCTCCTGCCGTAAGCATACGTCAAATATTCTGGCGTAGTGTATAGTATATTGTTACTTCTTCCTTGGTCTGGTCTGTCATGCAATAATTGGGATAACGGGTGCAAAATCTGTTTATTGCACTCATTATGGAGCGCAAACAGAGAGAAACTTTCAGAATGCGCAACCTTCGTAGATCTATACTTTGTTTTTTTTGGACGATTTCATATAATTATTGACCAGAGACTTGGTGCTCAGCCCAATGTTCTCAATTTTTAGAGTGAGATGCTTTGAACGATGGAACTTGAAATTCCAAGATATTTAATAATATTTTATTGTTTCAAAATATGGAATTCGGTCATCGGAAGATTCTCCGATGATTACAAAAGGATGAGGTTTTATTCTTATAGACCTATCATTTCCCTGAAAGGTATAACTATCCATCTTTATTGATGATGACACCGAACTACGAAATTTGACACGAGGATTTGTCAAACTGAGTTCCCTATATATAATGAAACAAGTTGCACAAAACAATTGTTTAAAGCGTGAACGCATCAACGCTGTATTCGCCGGCCCACAGTTGATCGAGTCAATGGGAGAGGTCACACATAATTTAAAAACTTTAAAAGCCTATATCTCCATTAATGCGAAATTTTGATATTTTAAAAGTAGTTTCATTAGTTTCCTCTTTAAATTTTCTATGGAACTCACCTCTTAAAATTAAAATTGTGATGAAATAAACGTAAAATTTTACAATTTTTGTCAAAAATTTTATGTCCGACTTCTTCCATTGAGTCGAGCCATTAAAAGGCCGTTAAAAGGTCGTGTCGGACGACGCGAAATGTGGCAAACACCGGTACTTTGTTTACATCCTAACTTCGAGCAGTTCCTCGATGCGCACATACACAACCCCTCGGTTTAGAATTTCAGATTTCGGTGCTGAATTTCTCCCAGAAGAGTTGGGGAACTTATGCAAGGGAAGTTTTGCCCTGCCCATGCCGCTCTCTGATTGGTTTATCGGCTATATTTGACTCGTAAGAACCAATGTAAACAAACGAATGCATCTCTAAATTTCAAGTGGGTTCGCAATCACGAATTTCTGTTTGCGACGTCACAGATTTCCTAACATACTTTGTTTTTCAAAACGGAAATACACTCAACGGCAATTCTTAATAATTGCCGTAATTTTTCTTCTCTATGCGAGGAACATTCTACAAAAACTTCAAGGAATGATTTTCAGTGGCGTGGCGTGCTTTGCGATGTATCGATTTATTTGCCATTTAAAGCTATGGGAAAATATCGATAGACAGGGCGTTCGCAACGAACACCCTAATAATCGATTTTTTACCATAGCTATAAATGGAGAAATATCGATGATCGATCATTCACGGCTCGCCACTGATGATTTTGATTGGTTCTTCTTTAAAAGGAGAGAAAAGGAGCACAGGTTCTCAAACAACGCAAACGAGATACGTGGTTGTGGACCTACACCGTCAATTTACGTCACCAATACTTTGCATTACTTCACCCAGCAATAATTACATCAATGCAAAGCATCACTCAAAAACAGGTTTGACTCTGAGACCCATAAAAAATGGCTCGGAGTTCCATAATTTTTAACCAAAGTGACTTACCGTCTACAGTATGGCCTCTGAGCCATACTTAATTGGTCGTGAACCTATAATTACGGCTCCACGGACTATATTTTATGGCTCCATGATCCATAACTCGGCCGGCAAGTCACTCTTCCCATACTCGTTTTTCGAGTGTATTGAAATTAATGCTCACTTTTACTTACTTGGTTTTTGGATTTTTGGAGAGCGGGCAGAGTTGCTAAAAGAAATTTCTTTTTTCCCCATCTAATTTCTTAAATTTCATGAAATTTCTTGAAATTTCCTCATGAAATTTCTTCTTATAATCTTTCACGAAATTTCTTAACTCTGAGAGCGGGGAATTTGAAATGATAGACAGAGAATCAGTGCTGATTGACCTCCAGACAAAATGCGATTAAGAATTACGACATCGCGCCTTCAATTTCGCGCACGCAACACGGACATTCATCGAGCACGAACAGTTGTATCTC